GTCCTTTCTTTGCCAAAAAACATGTCTCTATTCCTTTTTGAAGTGCAACTACCAAAGGAGTTTTTATTCCTTTTAATATGTTAAAGAATAATATAGATAATGATGATTTGATTCTCAGATATCATAAGTGATATATATTAAATATATTTGTCTTATACAAACAAAGTGGTTCATCTAAGAGACTACATCACCATAACCAATCGTCTATTCTATTTCGTCTTATGATATGAAAAAAGTTTCTTTGATGAAAATGTCTAAGTTTGTTAGCATTAAACCAATATCTTAAGGGATTCAATATTGTCTTTTAATCTAACATTTTTCCTCTTTTTTATGGTGACTGACACGTTTTTTAAAAGAAAAAGTTTTTAAGCACACCAGATCTAGTCAATTTCAATTACTAGAAGAATAATTCAATATTCACTATATTTCTATCAAAACATATATATAGGCATCCAAATCAAGAATTCATCATATGTTCAAATAAACTATATATCATTTTAGTAGATTTATCTAAAGCAAAAACAAACATATCAAAGCATATTAGTAGAGTTATCTGGAGTTAAAACACACATATCAAGACAATTAACTTAATTTTAAAGCCTTTTTTTTTGTTTAAATCTTAAAATTAGTTAATTTTTGTGTTAGTACTATAATTAGTAAATTACTTTTTATATTGATACCTATTTAGCTAAATCATGTGATGAGATCATTTTGCAATCTTGATTGGCTCTCCTAAGTATGAGTAGCTAAATTCGTCTTTGTTGGGATCAAATGTAATCAATTAACCTCATGTATTCCTTTCGATTAAGACACAAGCTTATTTATGTTTACTTCCATCATTAGTGATTCTCTTCTACTCTTAATGTTTGTCTCATCTTGAATGCATGTGACATGATTTACAATCTTGAATTGATTGGAAAATGTTCCTTGAATCAAGAATTGAATTAAATTGAATCACCTATAATGAATTGGATTGCTAGGAATTGTGTTTAATTCATTAGACGTGTACATTGTTGAACTTAATGCGAGCTTCTTTGTTAGTCATGCAAGGGATTGGTGATCTATGAAAATGCTTAAAACTAAATATCAAGGAATTGGTGTTTAGATATGTAAGTCATTGCGTTGATGGAATAAATGAGCTAAGTATATGTGTTAGATCGAAGAGTACACCAAATATTAATTGGGGAAGTTTGGTCCTAATAGTCTCAATATATTGAATCAAATCTAATTTTAATACGTGTTTGCATCTTATTTGTAGTTTGAATTCCAAAATTACAAAACAACATTTGTGTTTTATGTTAATAGGTGACAAAATTATTGTTCCTTTTCTTGGTATAATCATTTTTCCATTGACTTGATTCTTTGCAGTAATGACATTTGTCATTTGGATTGACCTTGCACTTCTTGTTCCATTTTCCTTTCTTCTTATTTTTCCTTTTAGCAAGATTGGATGCAACCAATCTAAACAGTAATAGTTCATCACCATAATCAGATGCTTTATGTCGAAGTTCTTCTTCCACCGTGATGTTTTCCTTCCTAACTTTGAGAAAACTTACAAAATTCTTATAGAAAAGATTGAGAGAAACTAATAGAATCATAACTACATCCTTATCTTCCATTTTTACTTCAATATCATAGAGTTACAACAACATAGAATTTAATTGATCAAGATGATCTTTTAGAGGCATACCTTCCTTCATACGAAGACCAAAGAGTCTCCTCTCACCAACAACTTGTTGCATATTGACTTCGTGATGAAAAACTTCTCCAACTTCAACCATAACCTTGAAGTAGTCTTTTATTCCGCAACTTAATTTGTACAAAAGTTTGCCACCCTATGAAAGAAGAATTAACAAGTGTGCCTTTCTTCCTTATGTTCAAGAACAATTTTTTCTAGGTGTGATGTCATCCTAGGGATAGGTGCCCAAACACCTTGTTTTTTCAACAAAGCTTTTATCTTGATGTACTAGAGGTTGAAATTGTTTTCCGTGTAAACTTCTCAATCTTGATTGTGTTGCCCATCTTCTTGAACACTTTCTTGAATATCTATCACAAACAACAAATAGTTGATCTAACTTCAAAGATTCACCAAAAGATGTGGAACTATGATCTCAACCGAATTCATGATACCAATTTTTTGTGCAACATTGAGATAGAACAAATGACACATAAATAAGAAAGAATGAATGAAGAATATTAAATGTATTAATTTGAGAGTATGAGATCATTACACCAAATGTTGATTGGACAATTATGTACGCTCTCACACCTATGCCTACTAATTCTATCTACTTAACTCACAAAAGTATCTCATATATATATAAGGTCTAAAATGACTAACTAACTAAACTAAATGGTAAACTAATAGAATAAAAATCACATGTCACACTTATCATCTCACTTGACATGACTCATTAAATAATTCATCATTTTTAAAGTCTAGATTAGACAATTTTTTTTTTGTAAATTCTATAAAAGAGATAGGACTTAATAATTGAAAAATTAGTTGAAAAGATAACTACTTTTATCATATTTTATGAGTATTAGAAAAAGAATCATTATTAATTTTTTCTTACCTTACACTCACACTTCCCATAATCATATAAGCTTTAAAGACTGTTAAAAATAAGGAAGACCATTTAAAAAAAGTCTCATAAATTTAAAATAATGCATAGATACACCTTGATCTAATTCCATTTTTTTTTTAGAAATTAGTTCACAATACACATGTATGTACATATATAATATAAGAACATTGTTCATTAAAATGACCAAGTATATACATCAAGTATATACATGTGAAGCACAGTGCGCTACTAGAAAGCTAGTACAGTTGAAGGAAGCTCCCCTTTCCAAAGACACGAATAAAATGATAAGGAGTCCCTACCAAATCAGAGTATTTAAATGAGATCCTAAAACTCTATTTTTATTTTTTCAACAATATCAAAGAATAAAAATTCAACATATATATATATGTATATATATATATATAAATCAAAGTACTGAAAATACGACACATAGAGAAGAAATAAATATTTTTGGGTTGGTAGGGCCTCTTATGGCATGAAAAGAGGTTTGAAATGATCATTTAATTGAGTCTAGGAAAAAGGTTACATTATTTTGAAAGGGAAGTAACAGCTAAAACAAATTGTAACCACGAATAAATGGGTTCATAGAGCTATAAATTAGGAGAATACATGAATGAGAGAGAAGCAATAGCAACAAGACGAAGAGGAGGAGCGAGCTGCATCTGATTCAGAAAGAAAAGTGAAGATCCGGTTACCACTGCCCATGTTTTCCGGCTCATATATATACTCTGTAGCCATTGTTCAACCTCAATCCCTCATGTTACAGGTCAGCAACAACACAGACAATGATCCCTTGCCTTAGTCATGATGGCATTTTATTTGAGTAAGGTTCTTCTCCAGTTTTTAAGAATTTTTATCGGAAAAAATCCAAATACTAGAGGTTACCTAAAGTTGATTTTATAAAGTTGAGTTAGACTCAAATTCACTATTTTAAAATGATATCAAAATTATTTTAGATCTTTAAAAAGAGTCAGTTATCCAGATCGTCAACTATTTATCTATTTATCAAGTTTAATAGTGTTGAGCGTGAGGAAATGTGTTAAAAAAACTCCAAGTTCTACATTAATCGAAGATTAGCTAAAGTAAATAACAACTCTCACCTTATAAGTTAATTTTATAGAATTGAGTTAGATTCAAGTTCACTATTCTAATTTTTTTTAATTAAAAGTTAAAATTATTAGAAAATTTTAATGATATTTTAAAACTGTACCTAAATATATCCGTATAAGAAATTAAAAAAATATACGGTGTATATATGTCACTCATACCCTAATTCCCACGTATGATCGGTTGATAGACTTTCACATCATGACAAAACGCGTACCTGCATTACGAGTTATTAGAAGTATACCAGTTTCTCTTGTATATCTTTGTTGTTATTTTTCAATTACAATTATAATTCCACTTCATCAAGTTATGCTTATTTTTAATACAAATTTTAATTAAGCTACAATAATATCTAATATAAATTTTTATAACGTAAACTATTCAAATAAAGTATCAGTTCTGATCAAAGAATCAAAGATCAAAGAATAATATTAAAAACAAAATTGCACCTAATTTTGTCCTTACTGTTACTTCTTTTTCTTTACTGTGTAACCTTCAAACCGTAATTTGTAATTATTATAAAATAGTGATAATTTCTAATTGTCTGATAAGAAAATTATTTATATTTTCATTTTCAATTTTAAAGAGAGAAAAGTACTTTTGACTTTTGTTTTAATCGTAAAAACAAACTAATAAACAGGCACACGTCCACCTTGCCACAACCACTACCTGCCACCTCCTCTCCTCCACACATCATTCTCATTGCTACCGACTACTATTGTTATAATCACTACTTATATCAGTGCAATTACCATTGCCTTTTTTTGAGTTTTATAATTTTGCTATAAAAATAATTAATAGAAATGTAAAATCAATTGTTACAAATATATTCATGCTCAAACTAGATTTTTCTAGACAAATAAAAGGAAATGACTAATTTTAAAATCACACGAAATATCAAAGGTCTATTGTCCATTAATATTGGCTAGTATCTTGAAGAAATTTTAATTCACCTAAATCCACTATCCATCGTCAATGCAGAAGCAAATTTTGTTAAAGTTAACTGCAGATAAAAAATATTACTAAAAAAAACAAACTCTGCAGTTAACCATGTCTTGAGTTGTTAATGGTTTTGAAATATTTTGGAATACAACTCACTGAAATAGAATGCCTCTGCAAACCATGACCGAAATAATAAAAAAAAAAAATGTACAAAACTACCAAATATCGGAGCATGAAGTAAATCATTAGAACATAGCAACTTAATGAAAACAATACCAAAGTCGCCAAATCTTATGTACAAAAAAAAAATATTGTTGAGACTTGGGAGTGTGGACTTCACTAAAGATAATTAGTTAAATTTCATCAACAAAATTGGTGAATAGAAAAATTTAATATCACAAATGTTTATTTCTAATAAAAAATTTTAAAAGTGTTTCTAACTCGGACCTTAATAAGCTAAGGCTTTTACTTCTTTGATTCATTAGCTCCAAACATATCACAGTAAAACCACGTTACTAGAATCCAGAAGAAATTTTTTTGACAAGATTAAAAAAAAAAGTGACGAATCACATTTGCATTAAACACGGAAATAACATAATGTGCATGGTGTCTCAAATTGGCGGAAAAAGCTTATTGAGACTGTATGGTAAAGAATAGAATTCATCACTCTTAACATTTGCGCTGTACAAGTTGAACCTCTCCCACCACTGCAAACCACTGTCTTTACGTGCTTCATCATTTTCACGAGCGAGTGTGAGATCCAAAACGAAAGCAACCAATGCAGAAACTGTTGTGTGGGACATGAAGATGACAGTGAAGGTATCATTGAACTGCACATTCATCGAAATGAAACGAATTATTAGCGATCACAGGAAATGGATAGTATACAAATAGTATCACGTGGCATGAATGGAATTTCAATGATGGGTTTTGTTTTGGTTAAAGATGTCTCATTCTCACCCATCTAGGAACTCCATGATGCTGCTTCACATTATAATATTCTGAGAAATATTGTGGTATGGAGATTCCAAGGAAGAATGAGAAACCCAACACAAATTTACTTTTGAAGTTGTTGAGGTTGGAGAATTGGAGAAAATCAAGACCCGCGGAAGCTACAAGTAACAAAATAGCAACACTCTTAAGTTACATATCACAAAATATGCAAACATAAGCGCCACAATGACAATTAAGTTTGAGAGAACTTACACACATAGCCGAATAATACACAATATAATGCTGCCATAATTGGCAGAGGTACTGAAGCAAAAAGTGCTCCAAATTTGCCTGGTTGAAGAGAAAATTAACATGACATATCATTTAACAGAGAGAATAATATATACTAAGGGAAAGCATAAGAAAGTCATACTGGGTTTATTAATAAAAGAAAAGAACAACATTGGTTCATGTATGAGAAAAAATCCAACTCTCACATTTAAGAGCTTAGTAAGTTGAGGCATCTTTCATTTTATGAGTCAGTTCAGTTTTATAAAGATGTGTTAAGTTCAAAATTTAAGATGATATCATAACCTAAAATAAATTTATTATGGGTCACCAATCATATTATGTATGCACAAGTTCAATAGTCTTGAACATGAGGGGATGATGTGTTTGACTTAAAATCTAAGATCATGAACACCAGTTTTTAATCCAATCATAAATTAAACTGATAAACTATCAAGACTCAACTTATGAATCGTATAGATCTTATTGGTCTACCATACCAAATACAGAGAAGAAAATCATAAAACCAGATGATATTTGAACGACCCTTCTGCTTCCTGCTTTTGTCAATGCCAACAAACCAGCATTTTCCCTGAAATAGAAGAAAAGCATAATAATAATAATATAAAAAATACAGGGGAAAACGAGGCCCCAGGTACATAGAAAAACCCTGCAAACCAGCTATAAAATTGAGTCCCCTACAAAAAATTTGGCTGAACTTACACTGATGCAGAAAATCCAGTTACAGAACCAAAGACGGCACTGAGGCAAGCATTTAATCCCTAAAATAACAAAAACAGTGACACAAGTAAAATTATGTCACAAGTTTTATGTCCAAGAGTCAAGAAGAGAGTATTTCAAAGTTTAGTGAGTCCTACCAACCAGCCAGCCCCACGGCTGATAACAGATGGTGGCACTGGTGTGGCACTTCCATATCTTGCCGCAGCATAACATGTACCAGTGTACTGCATGCATACAAATAAATGTATATAAAAAACTGTGACGTTTCAAGGCAAACTAATATTGAGGACAAGGTGAATATTTTAATGGTTTTGCATGGTTTTCATTAAGAAAAGCAATTAAACAAGTGATATAATTAGTGCAAATACATTATGATTGATAGACTTGAGATTCTATTAACCATATGTATTGTTGGTATTGTTATCGGAACTGGTATTTTAACAGTATTAAATTAAATGTAAATGCATATTACCCTAGAATGTACCTCAAAAAGAGAAACAAAAGAAGCAACGACCATAGCAAAAGCCTCCCCAGCATCGAAGGTAGGAGGCCCCCATTGGAAGAAGAATGGAATATACACCCTGCATAAATGGTGAATTTTAAGGCATGTATACATGTAGAAGTAGAACTAAAAAAAAAGGCCAAAAAGTGGTATGACTCATAACTAGATTTCCATTAAGAATACATACAACACATTTGTGTTTCCTATCTCCTAAATTACAATTCAAGTAGCAGTATCTTCTCTTTTATTAATTTATACAAATTTTTAATAACAGAAAATCATGTTCCCCTTCAAAGAATGAAGCTCAGTATTTCTTAAAAGCATTCAAATTCATGTTTGTATAAGTTAATTTTAACTTACGGAGAAATCCAATACATTTTACCTTATTTTCTTTTCTTATCATAAGGTGTTTACGGAGGAATTTATTCAATGATCATTAATTGAGAAAACCAGTGAGTACTGAATCATACCATGGAGCGGAACTAACAAGTCCAGCACGATCAGTGCGGCAGCTATTCTGTGTACTTTCTGGCTTCTTGTTATACGTAGTGCATGAAGTTAGAATAAATGCAAATAACCATGCAATTGAAACAGTAATTAGCACTGAAAATCGGTCATATTTAGGCTTCTTGGAGACAAAATAACGATTAAGATACTGCATAAGCATAGAACAACATTAAACACATGGACCAAAGTTAAAGAAGAAATTAAATTAAATTAAATGGACTTAAATACATGCCTGTGAGATGAAAACAAAGATAACTAGTGCCGGAAGCCCAATTTCAACACATTTTGCCAGCTGCAACATTGATTGCGAAATATAAAGCTGTTATCAATTCAAACTTATAGAAAGTTAATTCAATGGTACATAAGCAAGAGATCTCAAATACCATTGGGAAACCAAGTCTGTAGAGACTGAGTCCAGTGAAAGTTACATAAGGGACTACACAGAGTGGACTAAGGAACCTGAGATCGAAGCAATTAACAAAATAAAATTAGTTATTAAAAAAAGCTAATCAACTGTGTAATTACCCAGCCAAGAAAGTTACACTAACCTAACAGCATTCCTCCAAAAACCGAAAAATCCAAAAGCCATTTGAAAACATCCACTTATGATCAATGCACCTTGAATCCCTCTCATTGTATTTGTAAACCTCTAGAAAAATTCAAGCATATGGGCCAAGTCAGAAAATCACCAACAGAAAATGAAACACTCTTCAATGTAACATGAGAAAAGATTAGCAGTAACAATAGTTCCATTGACCTCATAAGGATCTGTGTATGAAGTGTATCTGTTGGCTTGGATAATGGAAATCAAGGGTACTAGGTAAGTGCATGAACCAACAACTACAATTGGAAGTCGAGTTCCGAACAAAGATTGAAGAAATGTGCTTATTCCGGAAACAAAAAGAAGGGTCTGAATCACCCTAGCCTTCTCCTCCTACGTTGAATAAAAGCATATTAAGTTTCACTTACATAATTGAAAAGCTCAAAAGCAAACAAAATTTGGAAAAATTGCTTACATTTCCTCCACCCATTTGAGGAACAAGTATAGTTGGAATCAGCACGGTCATGCCAAGAGTCAAAAAATAATGCTGAAACCCCAATAGCACTGCTTCACCTGCCTTATGATGAAACGTTCAATCATATAGTCTCTATCACTTAAGTCGTTACTCTAAAGTTCTTTGGCTAGACATGCCACAAATCTTCCAAAAGCATAATGTAACATCAAAATTAAAAATTTTCTAAACAAACTTTGCATCCTTGTCACATAAACTACGTGTAATTAACTAGTAATGACACATAAATGCATTGTCTATGTAATGATATGTTAACATTTGTGTTCTAAATTCCAACAAACTACCAAAATTTAAATCAATTATAATTCTTGTTATTATAGTATGTAAAGAACAGTGTACGAACGCCATGGAGGGGCACTCTTGACGCAATATTGAACTCCAGGTAATTGCTCTTGCACAGCATGTGGCTGCAAATCCACTTTTTTTGTGCCACCTTCATTTTTGCTAGAGCCACCCCCTGAACCTCCACCTCCAGCATTGTTATCAGGAGCACTACTTGGATTATCTTGAGCCATCTTTTGCAGACATCAAATGGAAGGAACGTTGATCTTATAGTGAAATTGACTGATCAATTTTCTATTTGAAAGAGAATTGTTTGAATTCCAATTAACTTCAATTAAATGACCAAATTATTGAAGATTTGGTTTTATCAGTTGCAGGAATTCAAATATAAACCATTATTTTTATTAATCACATAAACGGTATAGTAGATTAATACACTAATTAATTAGAATTAAAATGCTATTTATTTCTGAAGTTTTCAAACCGGTCACCTCTGGTTGTATTATATATACCTCAATCAAAATACTGCAGAACAATGGTAGAACAATGTTAGTATATATGCTAAAACAAACACTGCCAAAAAGTTTAAAAGAGAAGGGTGGATGCAAAAATAGATTTAAATCTTGTTATTACTGTTGGCAATTATTTGTCTAACTTTAAGTTTTAGTATGTTTATAACTTTTTCATCTGGTGGGAATAGAATTTGGTACTAAAAGGATTACAATATTCACATACTCGCTCAATTAACTCTCTTTTTTGGTCAATGATTATAAATTTGATTTTAGATCTTATGATTTTACAAAATAAATTTTTACTAAAGGTGAATTTAAAAATAAGTGATTTAGTTTTAAAAAAATATACATGTTAAAAATAATAAACTGCAAACATGTCGTGACACACAGCTTGAAATAGACGAGAATGAAAAAAAAAAGTTATTAAAAAATTATTATAACACAAAAATGAATCTAAGTGTATTTTTATTCGACTCTAAACACTCATGGCTTATGGGGATTGAAATTAAAATTTGAACTCAAAAAGGATGTAATACCAAAGGAAAAAAATTATTTTAAGGCAACTTTGATGATATCAAAGACATAAAAACAAGAAATTTATGAATGTCCAAATATGATTTTGCAAATATAAATGCTGTCTTTGTCTGCATTGAAAATTTTCCTCTACAACTTCAATTTTTTGTTCGGATTTAATCTATTAGATATAAAATAAATTTATTTTTAGTCTCTAAAATTTAAAATTAATCTTATATTTTCTATAATTTGAAAAAAAAACAATATTTATATTCTCTATTCAAATATTATTAGAAAATCTGTCACAAAACATATGTAGATAATAATGTACATGTGATTCAACGAATAATGTCAACATTATGATAGACCAAAACAATTTTTTAAATTATAAAAATATATTTAATTTTTCCATCACTTAACAAAACCAGTAAAACGAGCTCAAGCTTTTTTTTTACACAAAAAATGAGCTCAAGCTTAAAACACGTACATGGTTAATAAGGTTTGTTTAATTTTTTTATAAAAATATTTTTTAAAACAAAATAAGTACTTTTTTACCTTTTGATATATTTATTTAATTTTTTTAAAATAAACAGTTTTCTATTTTTTTTAAGAAGCAACTATTTATTTCTTAAAAAATTATTGTTTTTAAAAGTACTTGTTTATAAATATTTTTTTTTAAATTAAACAAATGGATCTTATATATATATATATATATATAACTTTGAACAGAGAACAAATATCAACAATTGATTTATACGCATCAACGTATGCGCGCATAATAATTAACGATAGAAATACATTCCTAATATTTTATTTTAACTAATTATTAATGATTAAAAATAAAAAATAATATATATATATATATATATATATATCAATATAATTTATTTTTAATGTGATTATTAAAATATATTTCATAAAAAATAATAATTAAAATAAATTATTTCATAAAGATGTGGTTGAATTAAAAAAATGATTTTTACTATTTCATATATAGTAACATATAAAGTGGATATTCTATTTTGATGTCCACTTTGTCAAAACATTTATATTTTATTTTCTTTTCACTAATATATATTTAAAGATAAAATAAAAAAATATATATAAAAAAACAATTGTTCTCTTAAAAAAAAAAATTGTCCTTTTAAAAAAAATTGCTCTTTTTAAAATAATAAAATTATTTTATTTAAATTTTTCACGGGAAGGCATCAATTGCCTTTGTCTCTATTAGTTTTTAATAATGATTAAGGATAGAAATTAAGAGTTGTTAAAAAAACTAGAAATTAAGAAATATATAAAGTCTGTTTTATTTTTCAATTAAATATTTTCTAAAAAATAATTAAAGATAAGAATTATATAGATATTTAATTAAATTTAAAATAATACTTAATTGCAAAAGTTAATAAAATTGAACAGATACAAACCATTTATGAAACTTTAATCTTTCGGTAATTTAAGATATTTAATCATATTAAATACATAATTTAACTGCTCACATTAATAGATTAGAGATGGACATGATTAGCCACCCCTAATCAAGGCAACCACAGTTTCCATTCTAGAAGAAGATATCAACTTATTAGTATTTTATACATAGATTATGTGGTTGTTGGATCCTTAATGGTATTAACAACATTATTCCATACCACGTTTAGGAAATAATTAGTGGATCATCGACTCCTCTGATAACAAATGAAGAAGATTCTATGATATGGAATAACACTATTGATGGTGTTTTCACCTTAAAATCAACATATATGATTGCATTAGAACTAATCCAACTCTACCTCGTTATCACATTTTTAAACTTTTCTAACAATGGAAAGGCCTAGAAAGGATCAAGTTATTGATACGAAGAATAGCTCATTGCAACCTCCTTACAAATGACATTCTGATGGAAGATCATGGGTCAAGGGCCCAATTACTCGAGTTATGGCTAGGAGCATACAGGAAGGATTGGCTAGCTTGGAGGGTAGTGGACTTTCTAGGCCCAAGCTACTCTTCATGTTGGACATCACATCTTGAGATTTGGCCTAACTCATTTGTATATAGTAGGTTCTTGTATAGGTTTATTTTGTCTTTGTATTTGTAAGACACTTTCTTTCTTTTTCTTATAGGATATTCCTTTGAGATTTTAGGGTATGTTACTTGGAGACTTTTGCTCCATTTGACCTTGTATTAAGGGTCATTGATTTTCATATTTTTAGTAGTAGAAGTGGTGTGACAAATAGTAAGGTGTGTAGGTGTAACTAGTAATTGAGATAGAAGTGGGCCTAGGCTAAATTTTACATATTGGGCTTGTTTTCCTCCATTTTTTTCCAAGGAATTAATTTAGCTAGGTTCACCAAATGAGGGAAAACACCTTGGTCACCTAGCTCATTTCCTTGGTCGAATTAACCTAGTTTCTTCTACACACTTGGGAAGCTGGTGCTACAAGCTTCTAACTTAGCTTACTTCCCAAGCTTCTAACTTAGCTTGGTTCCCAAGCTTCTAAGTTAGAAGCTTGCTCCACAAGCCTCCTAAACTAAATAAATCGGTTAGCTTGAGTGTAAAAAGGCTAACCATGGTTCTCCTTGAACCATAGTTAGTCTAGCTTGTACCACAAGCTTCTTCCCCTCACTATATAAGTCTTTTCCTTGACTTTGTAAACACTTTTGATGTTAATGAGATCAGAATTTTCAGAAATTCTCTCTACTTTCAAAGGTCCAAACCTAGGAGAAAGCCTTCTCCTTAAGAACCTTCACAAAGGATTCCTTCCTTTGTGCCTTGGTTCCTACTTCTTCTTCTTCTTCAAGAAGAGTGACGCACCATTCTTAGTTGCTTCCTTCAAACTTTGAAGAGTTTGAAGCATTGATTCGTGAAGTTCAATACCTCGAGAGAAGATTGGACGTGAAGATGGAACTAGGAGAAGATCAACAATCACTTCTACTAGTCATATCCATCACATTCGGCGTTAAAAGAAAACTTCCACAAGACCCAAGTTGTGCATTTTGTAATTGAAAACCTAATAGATGAATTTTGAATTTGGTATGTTTATTTTAGTTTATACGTGAAAATCGGAATGATGTTCCATAATCTAGAGTGAGTTGTGGACTATTTATTATGGTTTGGAAATTATGAGTGAAAAGGTATAAAGGGTGAAGTAATCATTAAATCTAATTCGACTACTATGGTTTTGGGGTTGTATAATTTGGGAGTTTTGATTGGAATGAGTTGATTTGAGTGAATTAATGTTATGTAATTGTTCAAAAAGTAATATATGAGTGTTTTGCTAATTAATTTCAGTGAATGAATGATTAAGATGGATTTGGAAACCCTAAATTAATTGCAAGGTTTGCAATTTTGTGAAGTGTAGGATTAGTGACAGTATTGGATGCACATTTAATCCATTGAACATAATGAGTATAGTTGTTCGTGCTGGGCATGGAGAGGGACACATCAAGCACGAGAACAACCTGCACATTTACTGCGTTTAGCATAATGAGTATAGTTGTTCGTGCTGGGCATGTAGAAGGAAACATCAAGCACGAGAACAACAAAGAGGTTCTTGACATCTCTACATTAGGCAAGGATTGTCTTGCTTAGCATGATATGACATCATTTTCCCAAGCGGGTTGGGTGTAAGAAAACTTGAGGGGCCCCTGTTCCCTTCACATTGGGTGTGGGAGTAGCCACACCAAATGCAAACATAACAAAGAGGTCATAACCTCTGCACGTTGGGTGCGAGCCTTACCTCATCGGGAGCCACGTGTTGATTAAAAAGAAAGTAAGTTTTAAGAATAAAATTAGTTGACGAGCTTTTAAGGAGAGATATTATTAGAAATTAAAAAGAAAAGATAAAGAGAGTGAATAATCATGGGTAGCTATTAAAAAAAACAAAAAGAAATGGGAGTGATGATAAGTGAGGAGGTAGCCGAACTATTGCTCAGGTTACAATTTCAAGATTTTCTCATTTTCAATTAGCTGAATTTATCTTTTCTTATATATATATATATATAAAAGAAGTGAGTGTGATGAAAAATGATAGTAAGAATACAAAAGGTGATGATGATGATGAGATGAGTAAGTCCAAACAAAGACTCGATATTTTGTGGAGAAGACTAGAAAGAAAGGTTTGGCAAGTTGATGGTTATAATTGCATTGTTGTTGTGTTGAAAATATTTTGTGGAGTCCATGTAGGGATGACAAAAATACTCGTATCCGTGGGT